GCTGAGCACGTTGGCAAGAGGACCTGCCCGTGCAGGACCCAGTGCATTGGGAACTGACCCTTCTGGAGAAGGGGTTCACCTTCTCTCCATCACCAGGCTGTGACCCACCAGCGCAGGGACACTGCCAGTGCCTTCCCATCCCAGCCCGGATGTCACCCCAAGGGCTGGGGACGAGCACTCACGTCACACAGTTGCTCCTCGGTCCTGCACCACGGCGCTGGGCACCTATGGGAGGGAGGAGGGATGTGGGTGTCAGCGCTCCCGTGGGAGCTGGGTGCTGGGGTGGGGGTCAGGTCTTTGTTGGTGACAGCAGTGACCCACAGGCAGGTGGACACAACCCCACTGAGGGCCAGGAGGTGACTACAGCCTGAGCCCCGTCACCTGCAGGACATGGTGAGCAGCATCTAACAACCCTCGTGGTGGCCTTGGCTGGGACGTCATCTGAGCAATGCCAAGGCTCAGTGACAAACATCCCAGTGAGGTCCCATCACCATTCGGGGACTCTGTGTCACACTGAAGCAACACCCCAAAGCCTGGAGCAGGGTGTGAGGTAAGGGCCTAGCACCACAGAGTGGACAGACAGAGGAGAAAAATCACAGTGTCCCTGGAGTTGTCCTGCGTGGAAGTCTTTCTCTGGAGATCAGAGTGGCCATGGCCATTTCCTGAGGTATGGTGGGTTTAAGGGAGGACCCATCGCTACCTCTCCAGGTATCCAGAGAAGATCTGCAGCTCATCAGCTCTGTCAGTGTAGCTGCCTTGCGCTGCCCTTCTCCCAAAAACAGCTCAAACCTCCAGCTTGGAGGAGCTGAGGCCCTTCCAGCCCAGCCACCAGAAAGCAGAGGGACTCAATAACCACACTAGGTTCCTGCTTTTTCCTTAGCCTACGTTCAGCTAGGCACCTTTCTCCAGGCTCTCCCACGCTGACCCAGTGCTGCCCCATCCCACCTCCCTGGTGAGGGCTGCTGGCACGTGCCATGCCAGGCCTGTGGAGCTCCAGCAGAGCCAGCCCCAGGAAATGTCCCTGGCTTTGAAGAACACTGGGATTGTTACCCAGATTGCTTCCTTTTTCTTCAATGGGTTTTGCCACATGTGTCCCAGTGCTGTTTTTTTGGGGTGAGGCCAGGGCAGCTCTTGGGGCCACTCGACCTGGACAGTCCCAGTGGAGTGACATTGCACCGGGTGCTTTCCTCCAGCTCCCTTCCATGAAAACCATCTTTTCCCAGCTTCAGAACCAGGGGTGAGCATGTAAGTGAGTGAATACATTGGGTGTCTCCTACCACCACATTCACTTGCTCAGTGGCAACAGCCTGGAGGCAGTGGCCAGGAGCAAATCCCCCAAACTAAGGGCCATTGACAGCCAAGCAGATGGTGTGCTTGCCACTGCTGCCCTGGAGCAAGGTGGTTGGGTGGGAAGGTTGGACAATACCAGGGTGCTGGGAGCTCTAGCCAGGGCAGGCTGTCCTTCTCTCTCAGCACAGCCAGCACCATCCTCCCCAGGGCAGGGAAGAACAGCCAGGAAACAGCCAGTTGGCTTCATTTCTTCAACTTCAAGGCAAGAAAGCTCCTGGAGACATCTGTCCCTATCTGTAGGTTGCTGGCCATGTGAAGCCCCAGCACTGCAGTGAGGCTACAGTTTTGGAGAGATCAAGCTATATGCAGCAGCAGAAATCCCCCAGGTCAAGAAAAAAATGATTCCAACTGATATCTCCAAAGAACCCAACCACAAAGGATAACACATCCTTTTCCCGAGGGGCTGCTGGCAGCAGGTCTGCAGCATCTCCCATGCAAGTCAACCAATGACCTGCCTTTTCCCTTCAGTGGGAATACAAGCAGGGTGGGAACTGTCACAGTGACTCTGCACGCCCTAGACATCAGAAAACAGATGGGAAAATGCAATCAAAAAAGGTAAGCAGAAACATGGTGGGCAGGACAGGGCAGGTCCCGGGCTGCAGTCAGCCCAGTGCAAGCCTCGGCTCACCTGTCCCTGCTGCACAGCTCACAGCACCACGCTTGGGCTGGTTTATGTTGTTGGCAGGACTTGGCGTGCTGTGCCACAACCCTTCAAGCTCACCAGCCCGAGGGACTACATGGGGAGACGGAAGAGGAGGAACCTACCTGCTGCCCCATGTCCTCCACTCCGGGCTGTTTTCTGCTGCTGTCATCTCTTCCCAGCTCATCAGCCTGTTCGTGCAGACTCAGGCTCCCGTGAATATCTGACACTTCATCTGCTGACTCCAGTCCGATCTCCTCCAGGCAGATGCTGGCTCCTTCCTGCACCAGCTCTCCTGGAATGCTGGGACTCGATCCTCCCAGTGCTCGATGGCTCAGGAGCTTCCGCTGGTGGCTCACACTCCCAGGAGCAGTGGCAGCATCCTGCAGCGAGCCTGCC